TGGTGTGGAAGCCGGTGCCCGCGGTGTTTGACAGCTGCGTGGCGGCGGTGGCCTGGCTGGTGCAGCGCGGCATGAGCGTGTATGTGGAGCCGGGCGTGCGTGCTGAGCTGGCAGAGGCGGTACAGCGGTACCTCGACGCCGGCGGCGCCTTTGGCGGCGCCGGCGCCGGCGCCAGCGCCGGCACGTCTGCTGGCAGTAGCATGGACAGCAGCGGGGATGGCTGGCCGGGGCCGGCGGCTGGGCAGGGCGGGCTGCCACCGCGGGCGCCGGCCGCGGGCGCCGCCGCAGCGCCCGGCACGGCGGCGGCGGCGGCGGCGGTGGATCTGGGTCGGCGGCTGCTGACGTGGGAGGAGCCGTGCGGCTGCCCGCCCGCGGTACCGTGCTCCGTGGGCCACCAGCTGGACCTGGTGATCACGCTGGGGGGCGACGGTACCGTCCTGTGGACCTGCGGCTTGTTTGCGGCGGGCGCGGTACCGCCACTGGTCCCGTTTGCCATGGGCAGCCTAGGCTTCATGACGCCTTTCCAGATTGGCCGCATGGCGGATGTGCTGGGCAGGGTGACGGGCGTGGAGCGCGGCGTGCCGCTCATGCTGCGGCACCGCCTGCAGGCAAGCGCCAGGCAGCGCCCCAGGGTGGCGTGCCGCCGCGCCGCGCCGCTCTGCGCGGCAGCCTGCGTCTGGCGGCACGTCCGCCTGCCTGCGTGCCTGGCTGACTGGCTGAGCACGCACTCTCCTTCCCTGCTCTCTGTGTGAACCCCTGCCCAGACCCCAACCAACCCGCCCGGCCCGCCTGCCCGGCCCCCAGCCAACCGCCCCGCCCTGCCCCTTGGCCGCCTCCCCTGCCCCGCCCTCCGCAGTGCCGCATCATCCGCGGCGACGCCTCCACTGCCGACCTGCTGGCGGCCGGCGGCGGCGTGGAAGCGGCCTCCTGCCAGGACGAGTTTGTGGTTCTCAATGAGGTGGTGATAGACCGGGGCATGAAGGCGCAGCTGTGCAACCTGCAGGTGGGGCGCTGCCGCCGCCGCTACCGCTGCCTCTGGCTGTGGGATTGGGTCGTGTGGGAGCGGGTGTGGTTGTGGTTGTGGTGGTGGTGGTGCACTGGGGTGCCGGTGCTGCGCCTTAAGACTCCTAGCGCCGCCTGCCTGCCTGGCCCTCGATCCCTCGGCATCCGCTGCCAACAAACAGCACCTCGCCTCATCTCTTCCCCCGCTCCCCACGCCCCCTGCCCCGA